TTGGTACATACTGATACTAAAAACTATCAGTTATAAGAAATTCAAATTTTACTGGTATCTTGTATTACATCTGGAAATCCTGTCTTCACACGGCTTCAATGCTGAGAATATTGCATATAGTTTGGATGTTGTGTGTGTGATAAAGCAAGAGTTATAAACTCATGGGTGTTCCCTGTTTGCTTGCCATCTAAAGAAGATTTCAAATTTGCCATTTCAGTTATTCCCTCCCCCTACAGTCTGAAGAGGGTTCTAGGTTGCTAGGTTACCATGTTCTGTGGACATTGTGAAGCAGAGTCAAAAGAACTCTGAAAGAGGTATAAATGGAGAGGTAGAGGGCAGAAGAAAAGGAGTCCAGAGGCAGGTAGCTGTGAAACTCGCCTTTCCCAAGGATTTTCACAAAGGAGGATGAAGATGAAGTGTGAGTTGAAAGTGAAAGGGAAAGCATAAGGGATCTTTAATAAGTACTTTTTAGTTTGTGTATCCATTTTAGAATATATTTAAGAAATTACTTAAGTGTAATTTTGGTTTCTTGATTTGTCATTTATCGATGTAGACACTACTCAGAGAGTTGTCCTTCTGGGCCAGGGATTTAATATGTTCACATATGTTTCTCTGAACATAGGCAGAAAAGTTCCTTGTTTCATTTGTCACAACTTTTTGAGTGATAAAATCATTTTAAAGTAAAGTTAACAAATTTGAAAGAAACAAAAGATTAAGTTCCTTCAATTAAAGAAATTAGGATATGGTGAGGGCTTTCCTGCCAGTGATGAGTGGGTGGGAATCAGAAGGCATATATTAGTTGAAGCTCTTTCATCTGAGGTGAAGTGAAGTTGTATATTGGAGCGTTTGTCAGCAGGGAAAGATGGGACATTGACATAAAGAAGTCTGTTTGAGCTGATGAGTCATTAATATTATTTAGTGTAAAATATTTAAAGTTTTGGTGGAAGTACCATACATCTTTCTGCAGAGTATGTGGACATTGGAGGATACAGTATAAATAGAATAAAATTCTTCAATATAAAAGAAAATAAAATTTAAATAAAATTCCTTCAATATAAAGGATAATCAAAACTAATTTAGAAAGATTCAAAATAACCAGGTTCTTTTAAAACTCCATATATATCTTTTGAATCTCAAAAGGCCATTACGTAAAAATCTTAATCAGAAGAGAATATTTGAAAACACAACCTGGGTATTTAGAATAAAGTACAATATTGTTGTTCCTCAGGTCCCTGATTATCAACTCAAAAGTCATTTATTTTAAGGATTTTTAACATTATAATTTTAAAAGCTATCAGGCACATACAACTACATTTATCTTTGTGAGAAAAAAATGATTTTGGTTTTCTGTATAATAAACAATGAAATGGTGTGTGTGTGTTTGTGTATGTATTCATATACGCTGATGAGTTTTGGTTTATTTTTAATATATATTAAAATGTATATTTAATGTATATATATATTTAGTGTTTACACTTAATTCATATATTTATAATGTCCTATGTAAATGAAGTATAGAACACCAAATACTTTAAAAATACCAGAAAACAGAAGAAAATGACAAAGTCAGTGGTAAACACAGTCATTTGGCTGAGGTATTTTTTAAAAAGTGATTAAATAAGAATATGACTCTTGGCTATTTCTAAATATAAGTCCAAACATTAAATAATAAAGATTGAGGGGGTTAACAGAATACATACAGACTTCTTGTGCAATTCCTGTGAGTGTTTATTTTTTAATGAGCAATAATAACCTTAAGTACATAGCTTTGTGATATAACTACATTTTGGCAGGAAATAAGCCTTTAGATATCACATATATTATGTTTACTGAAAAAGCAGTCTTAACATAGTCTAATGGCACAAATATATGTGATAAATATGTCAGTATATTCACAATGAACACTGGCTATTTCTTATATACAATCCTATTTCAGAATGTAGAAGGGAACAATGAATCTCATAGTTATCCTGAAATATGGAAGTAAAGGACCCTACCAAACAACACAGCAGTATAGATGCTTTTCTTGGGGGAAGAAGGTGTAGGTGCTAACTATTTTTTCCTTTGTTTTATGAAAATATCTTGATTTGTTTTCAGGGTTCATCTGAAAAGCTACAGATTACCACCACCAACTTCAGTTCTCACCGAATGACTGGATTCCAGCCTTATTGAGAAGCAGCCAGTTATATTATCCTCAAATTTTGTGAGTTCAATTTACTTTATTTAGAAAGCCTCTATAATGTAGACTCTGTTTGTTGTTTTGCCTTGATGATAACTGCTGATGCTGAGATGTTTATGTAGAGAACTTTTCTAATTGCCCATATTAAAAACATAAAACTCAGTAAAGCTTAGCAAGGACTCAGAATTATGCCTGTGAAATGATAGGAATGTGCAAGGACTCTGAAGAAGAAAGTAAGCAAAAGTAGACTAGAGAATGGAGAAATGAGACTTGAGAAATATCTATATTTAAATGTTAGAGTTTTACAAAGTAAGCATGAATTAAGCAGGATCAGAACATATCACACAATAATAGACGCAAAAGAAAGAAATGCCTAAAAGTTTGGGGAAATGAGAAGTATACAATTCCATGACCTTAGAAACAGCGCAAGACAATGAAAGATACAAGATAAACTTTAACCGTGGTCACTACCTTCAATAAAAAATATAAAGTCTATTTGATAGAAAAATAGTCACACGTGAATTCATATCAAACTCTGAAAAAATAATTGAAGATTGAATTGAAAGATTTGATGAGCATGAGATAGTAAAAGCTCAGCAGTATTGGAACAGAGAATGCATGTTGAGTGAATAGATGAAAAAGTTGCTTAGGGGAGATGGAGCCAGATTGTGTAGGGTCTCTGAAGACTATAGTTATGAAATAAGGTTCTACATCATTCTACATCTTTAAATCCTGCTAACATATTCATAAATTCTGCATAGGCTAGCTCATAAAAGCTAGCCATGAGAAATAAAAACCATGTTAGTTAATTTCTCAAATTTTACCAGATTTCTTTTCAGCTCACTTACGTTCACCTTTCTCCACCACTGACTTCAGTAAGAAAGTTCCCTGCCCATAATTCTGCTCTGAAGAAATCTGCCATGTTGATTGTTCAGAGTCCCCTCTAGAGTAGAATCGGAAGCACGGAGTTCAGAGTTTAGGGTACACTGAAAGTGTCTGAGCAGGTAAAAGACATAAGGAAAGTAAAAAGGGAAGAGGACAGGGGTGACGAGAGTGGCAAATGTAGAGTTTGCAATTAGTGAAATCAGCCACTATCAGCAGTAAAGCACACATGAAGTAATTTTTAGCTTGACTAGTACTGAGACATTAAGAATAAACGGAAAGTAGTGAATTTGGAAGACATTTTAATAAATGAACTCAGAGTTTGAACTTCACTCATTAGCTTCCTACCTTCTTATCTAGCCTGCTTTCCCTTCTCATATGATTCAAAATTGCACTTCTTCATATAGACATTACTTTATTTATTTTTCTATCTATGTATCTAGAGACAGAGTCTTGCTTTGTCACCCAGACAGGAATGCAATGGCGTGATCTTGGCTCACTGCAACCTCTGCCTCCTGGGTTCAAGCGATTCTCCTGCCTCAGCCTCCTGAATAGCTGGGACTACAGGCATCCCAGCCAATTTTTGTAGTTTTGTAGAGACAGGGTTTCACCAGGTTGGTCAGGCTGGTCTTGAATTTTTGACATCAAGTGATCTGCCCACCTCAGCCTCCCAAAGTGCTGGGATTACAAGCATGAGCCAATGCATTTGTCCTAGCTAGACGTTGTAAGGTTTATTGCCGAGGTAAAATGAGGAAACTGAGGCAAGTATAAGAAAATGAGAAGCTAATTTATTCAGCTCCCAGGCAAGGTTCTGTGGTCCAGGGAGGGGCCAAAGAAGTCACCCCTGGATGTTCAGGGTATGGGGTTTTATGGGGAGGGAAGGCAATTGATTGGCTATTGGGGAAACAAAGCAAAGGCAATCTTATTGGCTGTTAAGAAGCAGGAAATACCTGGAACTAGCTGCCATTGGTAGGCGGGCGGGACCTTGGGTAAGTGGGCCTTGATTGGCTATTGGGGAAACAAAGCAAAGACAATCTTATTGGCTATTAATGAAGCAGGAAATACCTGGAGCTAGTCGTCATGGGTAGGCGGGCGGGACCTTGGGTAAATGGGCCTGCTGGGGGCGTACAGGGCAGACTGCTACCGGGCAGGGTCTGATGGCGCTTCTTTAAAAAATTTTCTGCAGTGTTTTTCAACAGCGGGCTGGGGGTTGAATGCATAATTTAGTGCTGAATGTGGGCTTGGGTCTGGTATGCGGAGGCGGGTGCGGGGAAGCTATGTGGCAAGGCAAGATAATGGGCTTCGGTGATGATGTAGTTATCAGGCGCGGAGAGAGATGGATGTGTCTGTTTAACCCTCTGCGAGGCAGCCAGCCTTACAGACGTTACTTTTAAAAAGGTGGGTTTTTAAGAAAAGAAAAAAATTACAGGAAAAGAATGGCTTGTACCTTATACAAATTCAACCATATCATTTTCACATAGGTCTTAATTCTCTTTGAAACATATACACTCATACCTTCCTTCTATTTCAGCCTCATTTAAAATTCTCAGGTAGGTAATTCAGACATAATGAAAATTATTTATAATTCACCACCCGAAAGGAAATAAGTGGGCCTTCTATCCAGAACTAAATGTGTACAAGTGCATAGAGTATATGCCTAAAATAGTTAAATGAGAGCTAAGTTATTCCAAGTTTAATCAAATTCCAAAACTAAGTTATGAGAAAATATATTTAATAGGAGGCTTATATTTGCCCTCAGTTTTCACTTTTCCTTACTTTATTCTGTAGCTTTGTGACTCTAATATTCATAGTTCTGAGAAAGCACAGAAATAGCACATTCACAGGGTTTTTGCTATGACCAAAGAACTGAATTCTCATAAAATAGAACATACAGAAATTTGGTAAATCTTCATCTTCTTTCTCATAAATAGAACCAAGGATGAGTTCTCCTACTAAAGAAGAAAGTGATCCAGATGAAAATGCTCAGAAAAATTCTGAAAATGACTCTTCTAATGACTGTAATACAGACTTGGAGTCTCCATCTGCTGATCCTGATATGATCTATCAGGCAGTAATCAACCCAATAAACAGGGAGCTGGGCACATCAACCGCCCAGGAAGACGTTGTTCCTCAAGCAGCAGAAAATAGTGAGCTTGAAACAGAGATTCAAAAAGATCCTCAAGAAGAAGACATCAAAGATGAGGAGTCTCTTCTACTTCAGATCCCCATTCCTAGAAAATTTGTTTCTCTTATGTCAGGACTAGGAAGAATGTCCTATTTGAGAATCCTGCTAGTAAACATTGACAAAAATGGGCCCTTAAATGATAGATCAGGATCCCACTCGGGCAAAGTTGAAATGAAAACAAACAGTTTCCGTCATAGCACCATAAATTACAAAACCCGTTTTCAACTCACAGTTTCATGGAGAGTCCCATTTTTTAACAATCATGAGATAAGACGTATGATTCTCCGTCTGCTATGTGGGAGATATTTCTCTCAGGCTGCAGGGTGTCAGAATACCATGTGGGTAAAGCAAAAATATATAGCTTGTCTTTACCATCCAAATAATTTCACCCATAGTGACAGAGCCATAATATTTGGAAGGCCTTTGAGGGAGCAGTACTACCATCCCCTCATTGAGAGAATGACATCTGGAAAATTTTACAAATCAACTGACCCTAAAGGGAAATACAGATTCCAAATTGTTGTGAGTCCAGTGCTCTATATTTCACGGATCCAAATTCAATGTACTTTTAGTATAAAGCGTTTTGTGGATATTTGTAGATCTAATCATAACTTGAGGGTTATGCTCATAAACACCAATAATGGTTGGAAATACTTTTGTCCTATCTGCAGAAGGACATTTAACATTCTCTTTGAACTTAGACAACATTCCTGCAACTTTCCTGAAAATTAAGTAAAATTTTGGTAAATTCATTTTAAAATGTAACTTCTAAAAATTCATAATTTGACTACCAAAGTAAGACAAAATTGCATGAACATAAATTTTAGCATTATCAGATATAGTGGCAGAAAGAAACACAAACTAATAGTACATCTCAGTAAGAAACACCTGTGGGGAAAGAAGAAACCTCTGTTTATACTGTGCTTTTGAAAGTACATCATTGAAATATCAGGCCAGTCATCTGTATTGAGTCAACAGTTGAATCAAGCAAATGTTTTCAGTTTCTTAACATCTTTTTCTGTAGATAGAAACATTGTTAAAACAGTCTAAGTAAAAAGGATTCTGACTAAGATAGCAAACATATATTGGAAGGTCAGATAAAATTCTACCAGGTATTTCCAGAAATTCTGCTAAATTTAATATCTGTTATGTTCTGCATATATTCAATAAAAATCAATTTAAAGGCATGAAAAGTGGTACTGTATATTTATAATTAGATAAAAATTCCTATGTCTGGAATAGAAAAATTCAATGTACTGTAAATAGACAATACTTAGGCAATTTTGATGATACAAAATAATAATAAAACACATAACAAATCACTTGGTATTTGTGAAAGAGTTTGGGGTAAAAATGAACAAGTATTAAATTGATACCATATACAGCTAGTGCTCGACTGATGACCACGATTGGGGCCGGCGGACCGGTCGTAACACGATTTGGTCGTAAGTTGAGTAGGCTATATGTACAGTTGAAATGGTGCACGAGGAGATGGTAGTGCTGCCAGAAGCTGGTCCGCACTGTCGTACGCCCAGCTGGGCAACGTTTGCGCTGCCAGATGTGGAGCAGTCATGGCTAGCGATTGTGGTTGTAAAGTCGAATGGTCATAAGTTGCATAGGTCGTAAGTCGATCAATACCTGTAACTATAAGCCTTTTTGCTTGTATAGTGTATTCACCATTGTCCTCAATCACTACCCAAATTTTACCTATCCCTCCATACATACACGCACAAATGTCTACATGTATTTAAGGTGTTCCTTATCTTGTTTTTGCAGCTCAAACATCTATGCCTCTTCTTTCATTTGATCTGCATACTCATAAATATTAAAGTTAGAATCTATAACTGCACCTCATATTTTTACTATATCTTATATTTAATATATAATGCATATAGGAATATAATATGTAATACATATGCAATGCATATATTTTTATATATTTTGCATGTTTTATATAATACAACTTATACTTTGAGTACCCATTATATGTGAAGCAGTATGGCAGCATAATTCTAGATGTTAATCTTTGCAACAATCTTAAGTGTTTTAATTTTCATGGCAAGATTAAATGTGTGGAAACAGTTTCTAGAAAACTGAATGACTTTACCAGGTCACAGAGTAAATGCATGCTATTGTCACCACATGATATAATATAGCTGGAATTGAATAGGACCCTTTCTGCATATTTTGCCTTATTTAACATGTGTGTATTTATATTTGAAATATCATATAGAATTTATTTCATCCATGGATATACTGTATTATAGAAATTCTAAACTTGAAGCAGAGGATACTTAAACTCCATCTACAACAGGTCAAATTTGTTCATCTGGAGGAAAGTTTGATGCTTCCAGATATAATTATTCAGTGTGAGCAATGGACAGGACTAAACAATTAAACTAAGACACTTCAAACAACTGAGTAAAATATTTCTCCATTAAAAATACATCCTATATTAATTTTTATGTCATTTGCTTTTGAATATGAAACATAGCTTTACAAAAATATAAACCATCAGGTAGAAACTAATAAAAATAAAAAAGAAACATTCTTGGTTTTTTTCACTTTTCCTAACTAGGGATGAAATTAAAATAGCACTTGTTATTTAAAAAACGGGTTTTATCACGGACATACTACCATCCATAGAATCAATATTTTTGTTGATAAACCTCCACAGAAATTGAAAACATATTTGGAATGCAGAAAAAATAGTTAAATACGATAGTATTTACATCTTCACTTTTTTTTCCAAAATACAAAGCCATCTATTTAGCTAAAACTTTAGAAATGACAAATTAAATTAAAATTAAGTCAGAATGGAGAAATCAGAAAAATGTAAACTAAACAATCCTAGATTTATCCTTCTCTAGCAGCCCACGTGAAAGATTTTCATAAGTACCAAAGTAGGGGAACCATGCTTTTGCTTAAAAAAAGAATGGATGAGTAATTCAGTCCAATGTTCAAAAAAATAAAGTGTTCTATTTTTTACTTTATTTATTTTTTTCTGAGGCAGCGTCTTGCTCAGTCAACTAGGCTGGAGTGCAGTGACACAAGCTCAGCTCACTGCAACCTCCACCTCCTGGGTTCAAGTGATTCTCCTGCCTCAACCTCCCAAGTAGCTGGGATTACAGGTGGGTGCCACCATGCCTGGCTATTTTTTGTATTTTTAGTAGACACAGCATTTCACTATGTTGGCCAGGCTGGTCTCGAACTCCAGGCCTCAAGTGATCCACCCACCTCAGCCTCCCAAAGGGCTGGGATTACAGGCCTGAGCCACAGTGCCCGGCCAAATATTCTATTTTTTCTTTAACTTACAAATCAACTTAACACTTTACAGATAACCTTTTTTTTTCTTGAAGATGTAGGAATGAGCAGGTATATTTCTTTATGGTTATATTAATAATTTTCATAATTCATAGGCTTTTAAAATAAAATATGGGTATAAGATACTTTCTTCATATTTACATAGTAACTAGCATCTAAAATATTAGCTTACTTTCAACATGACAATGACCAGAAAATGATATACTCAACACCGAGTAGAATACATTTCTTATGGAAAATAAATTTATAGAACCCTGAAGATGGCAGCCTTTTACTATGTTAATTTTCTCTGTTTTTACTAGTTAGAATTTAAAATTATATTTCAAAAGTTATCTTATAACAAAGTTTTTTTTTTGTTTGCCTCATATCATTTCAGTGTCATCAGTGCATTGGATATCTCCTCATAAATTGTGTTTTAGACATATTTAACCAGAACAATTTCAGGTTTATGGAAAAATCAGACTGCCTCCCATGTGTGATGGTAATTTTATTCTGGCTTATGCAAGATACCTTAAAAGTAAAATTGAAAGCATAAAAATTCCAGGAAATTTTCTGAAATTATGATAAAAGTGAATTCTCAAAAAATATTCAATTTTATTCTCACTCTTAATGGACCTACCTAGTATTTGATACCATTAGTTTTACATAGAGCCAATCTTGGATAATTTAATCAATAGAAATAAAGAGGCAGATAGTGTAAGTGTCTATGAAGTGTGATTTTTGGTCCTGGTTGCATCATGGTTTGGAATAAAAGCCCACAAACTATGGACTTATTCCCTAAGAATCCAGAACTATAGTAATTCATATCCCATAAAACAGACTTTAATTCTAATCAGACTTTTATTACTCAGTGTTCAAGTATAATATACATCAATATCTAAAACGATGTTAGTCTGTAGTTATTTGTTCAATTGTCTATTTGAAATAAAAACTATTTAATTAATTAGATCATTTTATTAAACCAACCCACACATTTTATTAAAATGTTTGGATAATATGCTAACAACTAATATTAATTTTATAAAACTTTCATTTTTGAAACAGTAAAACTTGAGTAACCAGGCTCTTATAATTTATTATATCTAGTGCCCAGCTAGAAAATAAGAAACAGTTATTGTGTACTAAAGTGATGATTAGGGTTATCTATGGATTTGATAAAGGATTATTTACTCTTCTTGTTCTTGCTGTATTCTAATTATCTGGGTTCAGGAAGAGAAAAGGGAACATTAGCCTAATCATGGTTCAGATATGAAAATCTCCAACTTTTTTAAGACTCATTATAGGCCATGCTAGTGAACGGGTAGGTGGTTAGAGAAAAGTTTTCATGTTGTTGCTACATGCCTCTTGAAGAGACACTGACAGCTTTTGTTCCTGTCGTTTAACTGGTATTTGTACAGCAAACAACCTCAGAAGCTGGAGATACTGTCTCCCTGCTGGACCTAGGAGCAGAGGATAGATTTCTTTCCTCACCAGTATAATAAAGACAATGTCTCCTTCAAGGGCAAAGGTTGGACAAGTTTGCAAGCAGCCCCCTTACATGATTGATAGTTTTCTAAACTCTAGGTTCCTCGTGTGTGACATGAACTCACTGAGTGTAGTATCCACCTGTGCCACTCTGCATTACCCTTATGTGACTTGAAGAGAAAGAGAAATCAATGCAAATATGAAGGTCATGCTGCCTTCTCTGCTCCTTGAGTAATAAAGTCCTTTTTCTCTTACCCAGGTGTCCCAGGTCTTTTGCCAGTATCTATGAAACTGCAGCAAGTTAATTTGTTAGCTCACAAGCAGGATAAAATGTCAAAGCTATTACCATTCTTTATATTTGAAAGAGAGCTGGGTGAATAAAATTCCATTAAACAATTTTTGTTATTTTTTTTTTTTTTACTAAATGACACTTTCTATTCTTTCAATAGACTCAGACGATACCATCTTTTGAGAGCTTAACATTATTAACTGGGATAAAGTATTTGTGTGAATGTCTAAGTGCTCGCAGCTTAATGAAAGAAATGCTGGGATAATTTTGAAATGTATCATTCTCATCTTCATGAAAGAGCCACTTCTGTGAACGGAGGAAGTTACATATCTGTGTCTTGCTTCTGAATCTGTGCTTATAGAATAAAAACATGATTATCTTCACTAACTTAGGAGAAAACTTTATCTTCTGCTAGATATTCTCACGGTAACACTCACTCCTCCTTAGTAACACCTAGTAGTGCGTGCCTGACAGTCAGAATAGGAATGACACAAAATAAAAGCAAGTAAGTGACTTGCATTATTTAACTGAGAGTCACTAGGCTACTTATTTGTTAATAGAGAGTAGAGAAAATTAGAAGTTCGATATTGATATGTAAGTTACTAAAAGATTTCAAAACCTTTGGAATTGTATGGCTTTAAGCATTTGGCTGTTT